AAAACGCACAACCTCGGGTCAGAATGAGCACAAGAAAACGCACAACCTCGGGTCAGAAGGAGCACAAGACACAACCGCGGGCCAGAATGAGCACAAGAAAACGCACAACCGCGGGCCTGAATGAGCACAAGAAAACGCACAACCGCGGGCCAGAATGAGCACAACAAAACGCACAACCGCGGGCCAGAATGAGCACAAGAAGACGTACAACCTCGGGTCAGAATGAACGCAAGAAAACGCACAACCTCCAGTAGTTGTTTCCTTTTCCTTGTTCTTTGCTTTCCTTTTCCCCTTCCCATCCCGTCCCTTGCCTTTCCTTTCCTTCCCTTCCGTGTCCTTTTCCTTTTCTGGGAATGGCCCACCTGGGATTAAGCTTTCAAAGGAACCACCCTTCCCTCTCCTTCGCCCTCCCCTCCCGCCCCTGTGCTCTCCCAAGCCTCGTGCGAATAGGACTTTAAAGGCAAGACCGCCCAATAGAAGGCGCCCCACCAACCCACCGGCTAGGCAGGCCCGCCAATAGCATTCCAAAGGCAACCTTCCAGCCAAGGCCCCCCAAAACTAAAGCGATGTCTACAGTTATAGACCAGACCGAAGGTGGAGGTGAAAAATATCCATTGGGCGTTTGCCAAGTGGTTGTAGTTACTGTAGTGGTAGGGCAGACTCAAAGAGGTGGAGAGGTAAAGTGCCGGCGAATTAATTTTCAGGATGTCCTCCTTTGTACTTCCTAAATCAAGTCCTGAGGCCCATTTTGGAAAAGAAGAGCGCTGTCAAGTGCTGCCAAATATTCTGAAATTATATAATTCTTGCGTAGCATGAATTTACAATGTTAAAGATCCGTTTGCACTTCTCCAGTCCCAATATGTTCGGCTCAAGCTGCATGTTGCAGTCTTTCCCTACCGAACTCCGCTGATATCTTAGTGTGGAGACTCTATGGCTTTGATGTCCTTTCTTGTCGTCTCTCTACTGGCTACGTTTCAAGCTGCGCCAGCCCCTGAAGCATGTGCAATTGAGGAACCGTTGTTCTTGCAGATGGGCATTCAGGTGGGTGATGCGCAGTCGCAGAAGTTGGGGGCTCTTCTTCTTGAGGTTCGGAAGGAGTGTTTCAGAGCCACCAGTTCTTGCCTGCCAGTTCTCGACAAGCTGCGTTTGGCAGTGTGGCCGCACGTGCAAGCCGAGATCAATGGTTCATTCAGTACATGGATGCCTGGTTGGAATTCGGAGCCTTTGCGTGGTATTCTTGCGCAAGCTGGCGGAGTGTCTCCCACGGGGACGAAGATGGCCTTTCGCCACATCTTCAAAGCTGCCGGTGATACCGCCTTCGCAAATCTTCAGCAAGTCACCACTGGTTTCAAGCAGCAAGACTACCTGGACTTATGCAATGCCTTTCATTCGACAGATCTGAAACGCAGAGCTTTTACGTTCGTTCGCGATCCAATTTCTCGCTTCATCTCAGGCTACAGTGAGATCGAATATAGGACTCGTACTGGCATTGACTGGCCCATTTTTGACTCTCTATCCAAGCTGCTCCGAGAATATCCGGTAGGCAGCTCTGTTCGAGCTGCGGCTTTCTTTGAGGAGTTCTTGCGCAGTGGAATCGATGTCAATGGTCATGTGAGGCCCCAGCTGGAGTTCTTGCAACCATTCTCAGGCTGCTCCTTGCCGATGGACTTCATTGGCAAGACTGAACGTGCTGAGGAACACTGGGCCAAGCTGTTTGCCATGCAGAACGAGACAGCCCCAAAGTTTGACAGCCTCCTCGCAGTCCACTCTCACGGTCAGCGAGATAAGCAGGCCATGAAGACGTTCCTGGCCAGCTCAGCCAAATACATACGGGCGCTTTGCTGGCTTTACTTGGGGGACTTTGCAGTTTTTGAATATGAGCTGCCCAACGAATGTCAAGAAGAACCCATGCAGAGTGCAGTCACAATGCTGCGCCGCGTGTCTCTTTCGGGTAATCCTCTCGCTTAAGCCTTCAGCAGGGAATGCGGAAAAGGAATGTGCTAGGTGCCGGTGGTGCTTGTGCAGCCACTGCAAAACAATGATTTGTGATGCCTTGGAAGTTTGAGGCTGAGGAGGGGCAGCATGATATGTGCAGCCTCATCATGTAGCCAAGAACGTGACATGTAGATTGAACCATTGTTTGAAAGGTTGCACATCTCAGAGCTCGGTTTGGTGCCTTTTTTTTGGGGGTCTCACAAGTGTAGTACATTGACATACAGTACGCCAGTGCTCACCCTGGTTTGAGCAGTCTTGTCAGCCGTGAAGCGCCGGCGAGGACAAAGCCGTGCAAACGCAGCAGGGAATGCGGAAAAGGAACCTGCTAGGTGCCGTGCCGGTGGTGCTTAAAAGCTTGTGCAGCCACTGTAACACAAGGATTTGTGATATCTTGGGAGTTCGGAGCTTGAGGCTGCGGCTAAGGGGTGGCAGCATGGGCACGACTTGTAACAATGTGGAGCACGTGTCACCGTGTCTTTGCCAACAAATCACCGCACCTTGGCACTGTAGGGTGGCTGATGTCTTTAGGCTGCACCTTGCGTTGTATGTTCGGCTCAAGCGTTGTCTTTAGGCAGCCCTTCTCGACCGAACTCAGCGCCTTTCATAATGTGGAGACGTGTGGAGACTCTATGGCTTTGATGTCCTTTCTTGTCGTCTCTCTACTGGCTACGTTTCAAGCTGCGCCAGCCCCTGAAGCATGTGCAATTGAGGAACCGTTGTTCTTGCAGATGGGCATTCAGGTGGGTGATGCGCAGTCGCAGAAGTTGGGGGCTCTTCTTCTTGAGGTTCGGAAGGAGTGTTTCAGAGCCACCAGTTCTTGCCTGCCAGTTCTCGACAAGCTGCGTTTGGCAGTGTGGCCGCACGTGCAAGCTGAGATCAATGGCTCATTCAGTCCATGGATGCCTGGTTGGAATTCGGAGCCTTTATTTGATGCTGATTGCCAACCTGGGGGGGTTTCTCGCACGGGGACGAAGATGGCCTTTCGCCACATCTTCAAAGCTGCCGGCTTCACAACCATTGCAAATCTTCAACAAGTCACCACTGGCTTCGGGCCACAAGCCTACCTGGACTTATGCAATGCCTTTCATTCGACAGATCTGAAACACAGAGCTTTTACGTTCGTTCGCGATCCAATTTCTCGCTTCATCTCAGGCTACAGTGAGATTGACTATAGGACTCGTATTGTCAAAGACTGGCCCCTTCTTCACTCTCTAGCCAAGCTGCTCCGAGAATATCCGGTAGGCAGCTCTGTTCGAGCTGCGGCTTTCTTTGAGGAGTTCTTGCGCAGTGGAATCGATGTCAATGGTCATGTGAGGCCCCAGCTGGAGTTCTTGCAACCATTCTCAGGCTGCTCCTTGCCGATGGACTTCATTGGCAAGACTGAACGTGCTGAGGAGCACTGGGCCAAGCTGTTTGCCATGCAGAATGAGACAGCCCCAAAGTTTGACAGCCTCCTCGCAGTCCACTCTCACGGTCAGCGAGATAAGCAGGCCATGAAGACGTTCCTGGCCAGCTCAGCCAAATACATACGGGCGCTTTGCTGGCTTTACTTGGGGGACTTTGCAGTTTTTGAATATGAGCTGCCCAACGAATGTCAAGAAGAACCCATGCAGAGTGCAGTCGCAATGCTGCGCCACGTGTCTCTTTCGGGTAATCCTCTCGCTTAAGCCTTCAGCAGGGAATGCAGAAAAGGAATGTGCCAGGTGCCGGTGGTGCTTGTGCAGCCACTGTAAGACAATGATTTGTGATGCCTTGGAAGTTTGAGGCTGAGGAGTGGCAGCATGATATGTACAGCCTCATCATGTAGCCAAGAACATGACATGTAGATTGAACCATTGTTTGAAAGGTTGCACATCTCAGAGCTCGGTTTGGTGCCTTTTTTTGGGGGTCTCACAAGTGTAGTACATTGATATGCAGTACGCCAGTGCTCACCCTGGTTTGAGCAGTCTTGTCAGCCGTGAAGCGGCTCGAGCGGAGTACGGGGGCCCTCTCGCACCGAACGGTGCATGTGAGGATTGCCGAGGCTAGGCGAACGAGGGAAACTGAGACAGATGTTCTGGCAAGTTTCTGCTTTAAGGCACAGGCACGTTACTTGCAGGGACATGCAGACGCTCGCGGCGGCAGATGTTGAGCAGATCAAGAAGGCGGACATGTTGTGCAGGAATTCTTGGATGGCCACGAGTATCTCTCCCAGCACGGGCCCTGACACCCTATCCATTTGATTGGAGGAGTTTGCAGCTGTCGACCCAGGAGGCAATAGCCTGGTCGTCGGTCGCCATGTCTATTGGAGGTGCAGGATTTTGTACTCCTGACTCTATCACTATCAGCACTATCACTGGAGTTCATGCGGGTCTTTGGGACTTGTTTACCTTGTATAGCTGAATCGAGGCTGAGGCTGCAAGTTCTCCTGCAGAGCCACTGTTTGGCACGTGCTCTGCCCAGGCCATCGCACGGTGCGCCTCTCTGCTGTGCTTCAGGCCTTTCTTCGGTGGATGAAACGCAGCATTTGACCTTGGTTGCCGTGGCGGGACGACTGGCAGGTCCTGAAGGAAGCGGACGACTGGTCAACAGAGGAACTGGAGCAGCTGCCGGTAGCCAAGCAAGCAGGAATTGGCCTGTGCAGTTGTTCCGCAGTTGGGCATAATTTCAATCATCATTGGAGATTGGACTTTGTATTGCTTCCGTTGTGGCAGATGCATGCAACCACCTTTCGTCAATGCTTTACCGTGAGTTTTTATTGTTTTTGGTAGGAACCATGCTTTAGGCTTTACCGTGAGTTTTTATTGTTTTTGGTAGGAACCATATTTTTGTGGGGAGTTTTTCAAGCCATTTGTAGGATTTCTTTTGCCAGTCGTGTTTTGCCTTTGCTCCTGCTCCTGCTTTTGTTTTTGCTTGTCCTGCTTATGTTTTTGCTTCCGCTGTTGGTCGCCTTTTGATGGCTTTTGGTGGCAAGAACATGCATATATATATATATATATTGCTTTTTTTTTTCCTGGTTAGTACTGTAGTGTGAGCCCCGGAGGAGGAAGGGGCCATTCCAATGTAGCGTACCTTTTGTGAGCCACCCGCAGGTAGAACTTAGAGGAGGAAGGATTCCGATGTAGCATGCCTTTTGTGAAAGACCCGAGGTTACATTTAGAAGAGGAAGGAGCCATCCAACGTAGCAGACCTTTTGTGAGCCATCCGAGGGGAAAACATTTAGACGAGGATAGATGGGTTGATGTTTGCATTCATTCTGAAGGAATTGATGAAGTAGACACTTGCAGGTCTAAGTGACAGTCGAGGGTAAAAGACGTGGGCCACCCGACAATAAATCTACAGTATATAAAAGAGGAAGGACCCACTGGAATGTAGCACCCCTTTTGCGAGCCACCCGAGGGCAAAATGTAGGGCAGGAAGGACTCACTCCAATGAAGCAGACCTTTGTGAGCCACCCGACAGCAAAAATTAGAGCAGGAAGGGTGCCCGAGGGCAAGATTTAGAGGAGTGAGGAAGGCAACCCAAAGGCAAAGTTTAGAGGAGGAAGGGGGCCACTCCAATGGAGCAGACTCTTGTGAGCCACACCAGAATAGAATTTAGAGAAGGAAGGAGCCAGGCATTGCCAGCAAAGAACCATTCGACCTGGGTCCTTCTTACTCCACCCGAGCCACCCCTCTCTCTTCCTTTCGCTCCCGTGCTCACCAATTGCTGTATTTTTGGAAGCTCATACGCAAGGATGGTGTGTGTTGTAGGGATGGGGGTGCCTGATAGAGGGATTTCCGCATAAATGCTACATTTATATACGTGTGTTGTATATATATATATACACACATATATATATATATATATATCTATGTATGCATACACACAACGAAGACTCAGACATCTGCACGTGTTAGCCGATTCTGAGGCAGCAATATGCGCACCGCACGCAAAGAAAGACATGGGTGAAAGGGGTGCATGCATTCCAAGATGTATAGATGGAGGTAACATGAGGTAACAGCATATCACATGTGAGGTGGTTTCCGGGCCTCATGTGCACATGCGAACACAAGACGGAAGCACAACTACCTCAGAACAGAGTGTTGTGGCATGGCCCGGAAGTATTGAGCGAACTTCCTTGCAGCAATCCCCTGTCATGCGGCGACGTGCGGCACCTGCAGCTTTGGCCGGGCCCTCAGCAGTTGGCTGCTCAAAACCGACTTACCGTTTTGGGCTGCAAACTTCGCTTCGCGTGGCTTGGGATAGGTGTTCAGTCCTTTTCCGAACCCAAGGACCTAGTGGCTGTCCCTGCGACTTCAAACATGATCATGGAAGTATGATAAACTTGAAATAGACTGTATCCAACCTGCACTTCCTCGAACAAGCCGATGTTCAGGGCTTGGCTGCTGCTCTCCTGTGCCGCAGCACGACCAGAAGCTTTTCCGCTGAACAGTTCTTGCTGGAGACAGCGCCAGTGCTGGATGGATCATCACATAAAGGCCAGGGTGGTCGAGTGGCTTGGAAGCACCGAGGGGCCCGTTCACGGAGGAAAAGGCGGCTCCCACGTTTTGCCTCACAAGTTCTATTGCATTGCTTAGAGACTTGCCATGTCTTTTTCCTGCGAATGCGCGGCATGGTGGAAAGTACAGGTTTCAGTCTCCAAGGTGGGCGTGCTTGGTGGATCTGAGCACTACACTGGTGCACCATACTATGCAGGAGTGTCACTGTGTTGGCGCCAGAGGAAGGAATAGAATTGAATAGTCAATAGTAGTCGTCAAAAAAGAGAACACGACAAGAAGGCAAACAAAATGAAAAACACGGGCCTGTCTAAAGAGGAGAAGAATTGACAATTGACATGTATTGTATGTGGAAACACACACATGCCAGACTGTCACACACACATGTACATGTCATATGTATATATAGATATATTTATATGTATATTCACAACCCGGCTCAAGATTTCGGCCCAAGAGATTCAGCACCGCCACTTGACTTTGGCACATCGTGACTTCCTGCACGACGCTCTTGAGACCGAAGTTGGCACCCACACCTACGACTACGCCTGCAAGGCCAGAGAACGATGAAGCGTTCCTATGTGGCCTGTAAAGGCTGCCAACAAAGTTGGATCTGGGAAGACAGATTGCTCTCCAAGCCCGACCTCACCTGTGTCCATTGTGGCACAGCATGGCAGCGGGCAGTCCCAGACCTGAGACGGAGGAAAAGGGTCACATGGGCACCTTGGAACTACAATAAGGATGGAGATGGAGCATCCTGGCCTTACAAGTCCTACAAAACAGCTTTGTTGGAACCCCCGCCAGGCCCCTACGGGGGCAGGCCTCCAAAAAAGAACAAGAAGGTGAAACAAAAT